CTTAAGAACATGGCCAAATAGCCCAGAAAATCCACAACAATCATCAGAATAAATTAAATGATCATAAGTCAACTTTAAAAGATGTATTTTCACACCCTTTGTAACAGCAGTGAGAGTCATAGATCTGAGGGAAGTGAATTCTCCAATCTAGGAGTCACACAGGAGTAAACCCTCTCCCAAAGACTTGTTAAGCAAGACTCTGCAGCTGTTGATATTCTCAAGATGGTCTCTACTAAAGATCTCAACATTAAGACAAGTTCATTTTGAGACAGAAAATCGCTTCGAAAGTCAAGTTCCAAACTATTAAAGGCTTTGAAGGTTAAAAATCACCACTTTAAAGTGGGTCAAATAAACCATTGATGTATATCCTGATCTTTCAGTTTTAGGATAATATGATGTTGATCTTGTGTATGGGTTAGCAGCCTAGCTGTCACATGCACCAGATGAAGATCTCAGACCCTCTTCAAGGTTAACCTCATGGAGAGCATACTGGAATAGTCATGACACAGTATAACTAAGGCATGAATGACTATTGATATGAATATATCAACGTTTCTGTGCATACTCTATATGTAAGTCAGCAGTGGGCAACATGTTACTCTCCAGATGTTGTTGGGCTGCAATTTCCATTATGCAGCAACTAGATAGGTTTTGTGAGTAGTACACCATCTGGAAGGCCACAAATTGGCTTCTCATAATCTAAGTCTACATCTCTACAATAGGAATGCTCAAGGAAGCTATTGTCCTAGTCCTCCATAGAGCTGTTGAAGTTTCACCCACCCTACACAGAAGAGGCAGGACTCATTTTTTTCTGACAACATGTGTCATCATGTTGTCTATGTCAGGACAAGGTCAAGAGGCTATAAAGGGAGACCTTTTTTCTCTCCTTCCCATCCTTGGAGCCAGTGCATGCTCTGGCTCTTTGCTTCAGGGCTGGATAAAAAGTTTTGGCCTTTGCCATCTAATGGGCATATGGAACAATAGGTTAGTGGGGATTTTTTGCCCTGATCTTGCACTGGTTCTCTTGGGCATGAGTGGATGGCCATGTATGAAATTGGTGTAAAATTACAAGCAGGATGCTGAGCTTCCAATACATATTGGATCATGTGATTCTGGAAGTCAGCTGATGGACATCCCTTGAGGCCAGTCAGGTTACAGTCTCCTTAAAGTCTCAGGACTTGGGGAGAAAATAAACTTAGCCAGGTCTCCCCAGGTAAAATAAGTTAGCTGGTGGTGAGATGCTAATTTACTACAAGGCCATAGGGCAGGATCTTTGCCTTTAAAGGAAGAGGAATTTGGCAAGAAAGAATCATACTCTGACTTAGTTCTTCACTTTAAGACTCTCTATGCAGACTGGAATATAAATTAATACAATAAATTAGTTAATAATCTCGTGACCCTAGTTTAACCCATCACTCTGTTTCATGTCTTTATTCTGAAAGAGTGGGTAATTGAATCTTACTTAATTCTGATGGGAATTGATCATTTCCGTACCTGCTGGAATAATGTGCAGATGAAAATGTATTTCTCCATCAGGTTGCATACTTTCCAAATGTTCTGATAAAGTTCTCATTTTAAAAATTATCAACATATATTTTCAAATGTGTATTTGAAAAGAACACACATTTACAGTGCAATTGTATGTTTATTTACTTTTTATGTCTAATAAGACTTACTTATAAAAATGCAGCCTTAAAATATGTGCTTTGAGATTTAAAATGATTAAAAATGCTTATTTAAACATGTAATTAAAGTAAAGTTTCATGCTGCTTTTCTTATGTTTTAAATTAAGTGTAAGATTGATGTGGAAATGGGATTGACTGATTAGTGTTGAATAAATGCAAAAGAGCTCATGTAGCATGGTTCAGCCGTCCCTTTCTTGGTGGGACAACACCTCCATGCACGGTTCAGACCCTGGGAGAACCAGGTTTCTAATCACATGGACATTTTCCATAAGGTGAAGAAATCTGCTCTTCAGAGAAGAAGGAGTAGGTGGATGGAGGAAAGATTTGTTCCTATCCCTAACAGCACACAGAAGAAAACAAGGTTAGTTTGGTATCCACTTCAGGAAGTAGATGACAGGCTTGTCCTGGTAGAATGCTGGCTGTTATTCAATGAAGCATCCAACTTCTACATTATGACTATATTCTGATGTCAAAGATCTGAACTGCTTTTGAAACACTATTAGACCCACCTGTCTGCCCACAACCTGTTCCTCCACATGGCACAACCTTCCTGGGTCCCCTAAACCAGCCTGCTGCATTAGATGTGGTGGAGGAGGATGTCCACCTTTGTATGATAATTAATGAAATTAATTGAACAAGAGAACTGGGGTCAAATCCAGCCTCAGCCATCAAAACTTGCTGGGGGATGGCACTGGTACCAACCACTACTTGAATATCTCACATACCTTTAAAATCCTACTACTGTAGAGTCACCATGAGTCAGAGGAGACTTAATTATGCAAAACAACATCAGCAACAGTAAATGAAATGAAACACAGTACTAAAATGGTGTGTGTAGATAAATAAGCAAATGGTTGTTTTATTGTCTTTTGATTCAGGCAGTGAAATATCTTGGGTATGGCAAAATGTCTAAAGAAGCCTTATGGATCTTTAGAAAGGGAGTGTAAGTGTATCTAACAGTTTAGAATGAATCAACAGATGGCTTCCAGTTCTTTTTGGAGATGATCCACTAAACTGTAAGAAGCCGCTAAGCTGTAAGAAGCAACATGTCCTTTTGTTTAAAATTCACTGATGACAGATAAATGGCAAAATAATAATAATGAAATGTTGGCAATTAACATTTACAAGCCTGGGAGTTTCCTACATGCATGTTATCTTGGAAAAAACATTATCTTTTAAAGTGGAGTTGTGCTGCCTTCATTTGAATCTATTCTTTGAAAGATATCATTGCACTGGATGACACGAAAACTTGTTCTGAACTGACTGCATATAAATGAAGATTAAAGGTGTAATTAATTTCTGTAATCATCACTAGTATATAAATATCTGTCCAAGTTGATCATTGTTCTTGTCAGCCTTCCCCACAACTGGTAGCCATTAGTCACCATTTCTGAGCCTGAGATGAATCTGAAAAAATCAGCTGAGAAGAAGCACATTCCTCTTAGTGACTATGAAATTCTGTTTGCTGTTCTCTTTACTCTATCAATATGCATTTCCATAGGATTGTTAACACTATTGTGGCTCTTAAACAACAGAACTGAACAAGGTAAGGAGATAGAATTTGACTTTATTCATGAGCTTTGTGGTACATCTAAAGTCAACTGTCTGTATTGTTTTAATTATTTGTCAACTTTGATTTTAAGATTATATACTGCTGCTTTGAAAAGCATAATTACACATAGAAATTAGTGAAACAGAAGCTTCAGCTTTAACCCTTGAACTGTAATTTAAATGGTAAAGCATATGCTCTCCAAGTTAATGACAGCATGGAACAAGATGGCTTTAAAGTTGTTATGAAAGCTGCTTCTGTACTTCTGCCTTGGTGTGAATTCCTTTAATTTCCAAGCTTGAGAATTGATTGCATGAGTTGCAGGACACCGGCTTGGATCAATGGAACTGTAGAGTTGTATAGCCTGAAAAAGCAGATGAAAAGAAGAGGAATCTCCTCAGCTGAAATGTTTTCAACATTCACTTCTTCAAAGTGTTCTATGTTTCTGTCATTGCAGTGCCCTATTAGAGCCCTCAAGCCCTGTAATAATGTTTTGGAAGCAGTTCAAGTCTTTGACATCAGAATGCAATCATGACATGTTCTGTATGGCACACATTAGATTTTCTGTAGATCTATTGTAGAAAAAAGGGGATGCCATCCAATGAGGCCTGTTCACCGTGCTACCTACTAACATGTTGTAGGTCACCACACATCAGCTGGTAGCCATCAGGAACAGAGTGCTCCAGGAGGAAAAAAAATTGTAAAGTGACAGTACAAAGGACATGTCTTTCACTGAAGAAATTGCTTTTTAGTGCTTTCTGTTTTTCAGATTTGAACAAAAAGTAATTTTAAGGTTGGAGTAGATAATCTCATTGATTTGAATTGTATTTTTCTTTCTGAAATGATCACAAATGATTGAAACAAACTTTACGTTAGAAGATTATCAACTGGAAAGGTCAACATGACTGTGAGAGGCTATTCTCTACATTCATCAAAGCAATATTGAATTCTGGTAGAAAAGCTGAGAAACGTGTATGTCAGATCAAAGCAATGCCTTCTCAAAGTAACACATCAGAAATTTATCTGTTTGGTGCACAAAGGAAGCAGTCTTAATCTTTAGTTCTTAAAAAAACTCTGAAAGTATTCAGTTTCCTAGCATGATTTCTTGCATGTGATAAAACCGGCTGCCTGAGCAGTTTTTCTTCCTGGTTGGCGTCACTAATACCACTCCAGTCATTAAGCAGCAATGCAGTTGGCCTCATGCACAGAAGACACAAGCGTTTTCTTTGAAGGAGTCAAATTACATGTGATCTTCTACAGCTCTATACTATTTCCTGCATTTTTATACAAGGGGAAACTGTGATCATTTGGTTGCCATGGGGCATGAAGGCCCAGCTGTGCAAGGGAGGATGCTAAAATCCTTCTGTATTCCTTAGATGCTAGTAACTAGAAAATACATGTTGCAGTATACCAAACAAAATGCCCATCTAACTAAAAAGGTAACTATAAAATGTCTAAAGTGGAAGATGAATAATTTTTCCTCATTAATTTACAGTGATACTGTACTGTAGTTATACTTTCTAGTTACTATTTATGAGTAAGTAACTCGTTACCTACAGACTCTGATATTGACACTGTACAATGCATACTTTTAAATCTGTAATGAGACTCATAAATATTTACAAGTAAAGCAAGTAAATTATATTGCTTGCACTTCCCGATGCTGTGGGTTCATTTTCAAAGCCAATAAAAATGAAAAGAGCAGGTCTACAGAAACAGCAAAATGAAAGAATCACATCCTTCCTCATATATATCCCCTTTATCAGGTGCAAACAGTCATACAGCCCAGGGAACATTCACGATACTCTCAGGAACATCTTTCAGCCCTGCTTTGCAAGAGAAATCATCAACAGCCTTCAAAGCTCTTGCCTTTGATGTTCAGCAAATGGTAAGAAATAACAAACACTACCTGTTTATGGCATGTGCCAGCTTTGTTATATTGGGTTTTTTATTTAAAATCTGTCCCAAGTTCTCTCTCTCTCTCTCTCTCTTTACTCCTCTCCCTCTGGATATACATGAAGGGTACCTCAACCCATTACATGTATATATACATGTATACACACATAAACACAGACAAATGCATACATAATCATAATATACTACAGTTCTGCATTATTCAACAGTCTTCCTTCTTTGTACAAGAAAACTCTGTGGGAATGGTATGTATGTATGTATGTATGTATGTATGTATGTATGTATGTATGTATGTATGTATGTATACCATTCCCACAGAGTTTTCTTGTACAAAGAAGGAAGACTGTTGAATAATGCACAACTGTAGTATATCATGATTATGTATGCATTTGTGTGTGTTTATGTTTGTGTATGCAAATGCATTTATAATCATGATATACTACAGTTCTGCATTATTCAATAGTCTTCACTTTCTGTATGGAATCTGTTCTGAGTAATGGTGTTCCTAACAAAAACCATGATCACTTTGTCCATTATCTGTGTCCCCACCTGGTCATGAGGCCATGTATAAATATGACAGTCATACAGCCTCACCCTTATCTCTGAGAAAGTAGACTTTTACACAAGAGCTCACATTAGCAGTTCATCTTTAAGGTTCCACAATGTTTTTTTTCTAATAGAAGAGAAATGAGATGCAGACACACATACATAGTCAGTGGAGTTTTTTTGAAAAGGAGTGAAAATAACACAGGGGACAAAGGCACCTTATCTCTCATGCTCAATGGTGGGTTCACGATAAATCGTCATCACCAGCACAGGAGGAAATGTTCAGTCTATGCTTACCACACATGAGGGTACCCATCTGACTACTAATTTAAAAGTGAAAACAATCTTGCTGCACCAAATTACTCATTAAATATAATTGTCCATTTGGCCATAAGTTAGTAAACAGTGTCTGTCAAAGCACATTCAATAAAACTATTCCCAAGTTACCCTCTGGAATTAAATCTTAGTTCAAGTGAGATATCTACTGCAGGACACCCACAGAAAGAAATCTGTAATATGGTTTCCTGAGGTCATTATCAGAAACATAATGCACTTCCAAAATAGCCTAAATTTGCAGTGCCCTCCACCATTTAAAAAAAAAAATAGAAATGTCTATGAAGCCATGCTTGAAGAAAACATGTCTGTTATTCTGGTGCCACAGTTATATGTATATTTTTGGAAGTCATTGTTTGGAGCACCTGGAGATATAAATAATCTCACCTGTTCTCATTTTTTATTTAAATAGCTCATCTTGATGTGACCAGACAAGATGTTAAGAATTCTTCAACCTCCATGAGAAGTCTCATCTTCAGTATGAGAACAGGACAAGGACATTTTGTACCCATTGTGTTTTTCACACTTTGTGCAAAACGCAGCAGTAAAGAGCTAATGTTTTCCAAGTCAGCATGCACATGTGGGAAGCACAATACACCCTGCAGACTAATTTGAAAGAATCCACAAACAACCCACCCAATCCTACCACATTTGATAGTTCAAGAAGGCAAGATTTATCACATTTCTAGTAACGTGCATTTTCAAAAAATGCACAAATGTGCAAAATATATTTTGACAGCAGCAGCAGCAACAGCAAAAAACCTTTGACCACTTTACTACATTACAGAGATGGAGAAAGTTACATTTTGGTTAACAATTCCTAGAATACCCCAACTATAGTCCTAAAGAGTAGCTTCCATAATCTCTGTTGTATTCCAGCACAAAGTGATGTTTCAGTTTTGTCAGAGAAAGATAGCTTGGATATTTCTTCTAATGGAAATGGGGAGGAGATAGCTTAATAAAATGCTTTGAATATTTCTGTAGGTACCAACTGACAATGTCAAGAAAGATTTTGTCATGCTTATTTTGCCTCTCATATTTTTACATCTAGATAGATGATATATTTCAATCAAGTGAACTTCAAAATGAATATAAGAACTGTAAAGTTTCCCAGTTTAGGTGAGTTTATTTTTTATATATGTGTAGATTGGAGCCTCAGTCATGTCAACATATGCATGAAATACAGCTGAAATCTGTAATATTTTAGCTATCTAGGTTGAAATATATTATAATTGAGTCAATTGTGTAAGAACACATGATTTTCCCTTTTCATTTCTTCTGAAGGCTGAAATTTTGTGGTCCCAGAATGAGTATTGCAAAAGCCATAGCAGTCAACACTCAGAATCGGATATATCTTGAAGGCTGAAATTTTGTGGTCCCAGAATAAGTATTGCAAAAGCCATAGGTCTAGAGCAGTCAACACTCAGAATCGGATATATCTTCTCGGTTGCCATGGGAAACTCTCCCCCCCCCCGACTCTGGCCACTGCAGTTCAATATTGGTAGAGGCAAATTAGACAGTGCAACATAGTACAGGCATACCTTGGTTTACGAATGTAATGTGTTCTACGGGACATCACGTAATGTGAAAAATTCATAAACCAAAACGTGGATTGCCATAGGAATGGAGGCAGTGCTATAAACCTCCAAGCACAATACATCCTGGGTAAACTTTCTTCATAAACCCCCCCAAAATTAAAACAAAAAACAAAAAAACCCGTAAACCGAAGCATTATTTTCAATGGATTTTGCTTCGTAAACCAAAAATTACGTTAACTGAGGTGTTCGTAAACCAAAGTACCACTGTAAAAGCTTTAAATCTAGAGTATATGATCCAAACCACATTCAGTCAATGGAGAAGTCCTGAACATGGAGGGAAATGTATGCTTTCTTTGAGTTGATTTAGTTTTGAAAAGCAAAAGTGAAGGGAAATGGTAATCTACCTCCTTTTCATCCCATCAGAGCACATTGCTTTTGATAGGTGGTTTATTCACTCTCAGATATTCCCATTCCACCAACAGAACTGTGTTGTCTCTTGTTTGTTTTTAATCTGTGATCCACATAATAAATTGCATTTAAATAGCATTTCCTCCACTAGCTAGGTAAGCAGGAAATTCTGTCACCATATAATTTCTATCATCTATTATTTGTTTCTGTTAAAGATATTTTTAAACAACATGGATTTGAACTTGATCTGATTTGCCCAAACATCTTGATGTTCTGAATGCATTTCCATTATGCCATTGGCATTCTGATCAGTTCTCAAACAGATCTGTCAAATGAGATGCATTTTACTTATTTTGAATTCAGTAGCTAAAGCTAATGTGTTTGATAACGTTAATGAAATCCTGGATCCCTATTCCCAAGTTTCATAACATTTGCTGCCAAGTTAGACTCAACATTTTATAACATTAACAGTGTAAATGGAGTAAAACTAGACTCCACTGGCTTCAGTCCAATGGTCCATTTAAAAGGAAATGCATAGTACTATCCTAGGACATTCATGTCATCGGCATTTCCACTATACCCAAGGTCTGACTGAAAAGCTGTTTCACCTTGTCAGATGATACAAGGGGAGATGACTTCAAGAAGCACCAGGGCTACATCTGCCACAATGAGGCCTGAGAGGGCACCTCCAACCCCTCTAATCCTCCAGGTTTTTATGGAGGGAGCAACTGCCTTTTTCAGGCTAGTCCCCTACTTTTCTTTAAAGCCACATAAACTTAATTTTTCAAAAAACAACAACAACAACAACAACAACAACAGAACTGACAACAACAACAGAACTGATGTTTCTCACTTTAAAAAAAGGCTTTTGCAAATCTAGATAAATATTTGATACACAGACCCTCCAATAATGTCCAGAAAAGGCTGGTCCTGTGTCCCTGAAAAAGGAACCTGCCATTGCAGGCCCCTCAACACCAAAAAGTGTTTTTTATTTATCCCAGCTTTCCCAAATCCATTTAGCTAATTAGATCTATTCCTGGTTCCTTTTTAAATACAAGTATGCTAAACTGATTTTTTTATTAAAAAATCTGCATAGTGTGTTTTCATGTGCATGAAGCTATGCTATAACTTATTTTTCTTAAGTGATATATAAACAGGTAAGTTAAATAAATAAATAGCAACTGAAGCCATTTAAATTGTTTTATTTGTTTGCTGTTTATTGTCTTTGCTACCTTTCTCCTAAAATGGAGTTCAAGGCAACTGGCAAATGATTAAGAAACAGATACAAAAAAAAACCCCACAATAAGTTATAGCACTAAAAAAGCAATTAAACATATAATAATATTTCAAAAACCACTCATTTAAAAACCATTTAAAAATTTAAATCCCATGTTTGCAAGGAAGTAGTAAAACATTCAGCATTCCATGGTAAAGGTTTTTTTTCCTTCAACGGCCCAATTCATTTGCTGAAAGACTGCCTGAAAAGAAAGGGCTTTTCCCGCCAACAGGAGGGACGAACCCAGCCTCCCACAGGACAGTGTAGCACAACTGGGGAGCAGCCGCTGAAAATGTCCCCTTTCACATCTTGCCAAAAGTGCCTGTGATAGTGGACGGACAGGATGTGGGTCCTCCCTCAAGGTTTTAAAAGACAAGCAGGCTTATAGGTGGACACACAGTCCTTCAGATAGCCCAGATTGAGTTGTACAGGGCTTCATAGATAGTGACTACTCTTTGAATTGGACCTTGAAATAGACCTGCAGCCAATGTAAAACTACTGTAATGGGGAAGGTACATTCTTCCTGTTAATTTCAAAGCTGTGGGATAAAAATATTTTAAATAAAATAAAATAATAAATAAATGGGATGCTATATGGCTCACTGAGGGTTCATATGTTATCTTCGATTCTTTCTTTACTTTGATTATTAAACTAGTTTTTCTATCATATTCACTTTCTGTGTTTGGCAAAGATTAGCTAACATCCATAAACTATAACATATTGCAATATTTTGCCCTTATATATTATCCTTCTACTCATTTACTCTCTAATTCTCTTGTTTCCAGCATAATTTGCAACATCAATAAATGTAATTGGAGTCTCAGTCAAGATATCCTGTCTGCAGTAGTAACTGAGGAAGTTGCCTTATAATGATCCATCTAACTCGGTCTTGTCCGCACAGTGCTGTTTGTTATCATCTAGCTCAACAATGAGATGCTAACATTCACTGTCAGCAGCATCTTTTCCAGCCCTTTTAGGCTCTGTCAGAAGTTGCATATAAAGTGCATGCTCTACCATTCAGCTGAACCCAGCTGGACCGTTCTGTGATCTGGGTCAACTGGCTGAGACATACTGTACCTAGGGGAAAAACAGCTAGTTACTGGACACATATTTCTGCTCAACTAAATCTCTCTGTCCCTTGCCCTCATGTACTGACTAATTTCTGCCAATTCAGTGTCCCCTGGGGTCCCCAGCTTCCCCTTCCCTCATCTAACCCTCTGCTAATGCCATTCTGAGGTAAGGGGTTTTTGCACCCTATGTGCCTTCTTTGGAAATCAATTAACCCTGTTCCTTTGCGCTACCCATTGTTGTGACCTATTTAATAAGTTATTTTTAACTTGCCCAATATCCCTTCAGGTAAGAATGGGATGGGTGAAAAAATACCAGCACTCAAGGTCAATAAGAATGTCAGTCAAAAATTCCCATCCAGTCTTGAAGCAACCAGCTCAACCCATTCTTACCTTACAGGGTGAGTGGGTGGGTCAACATCGACCCGGACAGGAAGGGCGATGCAGGGCTGGCAGTCTTTTTAAAGGCTTTTGTGTGCCCAGCTGGCTCACCCAATATGACGCAGGGCCTTGCATCTTCTCTTCTCCGAGCGGGCAGACAAAGAAGCTCCACCTTTGGCAGCTCTATGCCTTGCGGAGCAACCCATCTGTTTCTTTCCAATATGTTCTTTCATATATTTGGGACAGAACAGGAATTACAAAGATGCTACAAGTCTGAAATTCAAAGGAAATTGAACTTGGCAGCTGTACTTCAACTAGCTGGATCTTTCAGGGAGTTGGGAGCTGGCTATGGAGGCACAGAACAAGAGTTCAGTTTCCCATTGTGCTTCTCATGGGAAGAGACAGTCTGTGCAATCTTAGGCAAGTAGAATGTCTCAAAAAGAAAGCAACAATAAACCATTCCTGAGTACTCTCTAGTTTAAAAAAAACTTGGAAAGTGTTGCCTTAAGTAGGAATTGGCTTTATGACACATTGTTTTTGTTGTTTCTAGCTCTATTTCTGGACTCCTTACTTTACTGGAAAATGATTTTGAGAAATTCTATTTCAAAAATGATTTATTCAAATACAGTCATGTTATCTTCTGGTTGCTGCAACGGCTTCCTCCGATGTCAGGGGCAAAGCCCTTTGAGACCCCTGAAGGCAAAATGGCAGGGAGAAACAGGAAATTCGAATATCTAGCTCTTTCTCCCTGACTTTTTTCCTTTGGAGGTCTCAAAAGGCTTCCTCCAATGTCAGGGGGGAGCCCTTTGAGACCTCCGAAGGCGCCGATCGCTCCATTTGCAAAAAATGGCATTGACTTGCGAACAGAGCCTCAACCTCATTTGTAGGTGGAGGCTCCATTCGCAAGTCGATGCCAATTTTTCCGAATGGAGCCGTTCGTAAATCAAAAAGTTTGTATGTAGGGACGTTCGTAAATCGAGGGTTGACTGTACTTCAGCCAACCTCAGCTAAAATTATTCAGTTCTCTTCCTCTGCTTCAGACCACAAGAGAGAAGGATTATGGAATTGTCATAGATCATAAGCTGAATATGCACCAACAGTGTGATGTGGCTACACAAAGGCAAATGCTATTTTAAGCAGCATTAACAGAAGTATAGTTTCCCAATCTAGTCCACCTCTATTCAGTGCTGGTTAGGCCTCACCTTGAGTATTGTGTCCAGGTCTGGACACCATAATTCAAGAAGGATGCTGAGAAACTGGAATAAGTTTAGAGGAGGGTGACAAGGATGATCAGGGGGCTGGAAACCTGGCCCTATGAGGAAAGACTGAAAGAATTTGGCATGTTTAGCCTTGAGAAAAGAAGGTGGTCGAGATAAGATAGCACTTTTCAAATACTTGAAAGGCTGTTATACCGAGGAGGGGCAGGATCTGTTCTCAATCATCCCAGAGAGCAGGGCATGCAACAATGGACTCAAGTTAAAGGAAACCAGATTTTGATTGAATATAGGAAAAACTTCCCAACTGTTAGAGCAGTAAGACAGTGGAACCAATTAACATCGAGAGGTGGTGAGTGCTCCAACACTGGAGGCTTTCAAGAGAAACATAGACAACCACCTGCAGATATGCTTTGATTGCATTCCTGCATTGAGCAGGGGGTTGGCCTTAATGGTCTTGTAGGCCCCTTCCAACTTCACCATTCTATGAGTCTATGATTCTAATACAAAAGCATATTTCCTTGTCTTATAATTTGATGTACTACAATGCAAGTGAAACAGAAGTGTTATCTCCCTGTTGACCAATTAGAAACAAAAGCAAGTCAAATATGGATTGAGGAAAGCTGGGTTAGAATAAACAATCTGTTCCTATTGCTTACAGGTATGGAATCAATGTCTAGCCTTCTGAAGCCCTGTATCTCCAAATTTCCAGTAGCTAAAAACTTTTTGCTGTAACTTCCAGACAGCATCTATGTGTTACCTGGCTGCTGATTCATTGAATGACAACCAAATCTGGAACAGTTTGGAACATTTACTAATTCATGTTTTCTTGTGGGATTATTTCTTGTTTGGCAGAAATGGCAGTGTAATTGTATTATTCAACCTTTTGTTTGGACAATTGGTACCTGATGAAAAGATAAAGAATGAACTGTCTTTGGGCATTGAAGGAAATAAAAGTGGCCTTTTGCAAACCTTCATCATTGATGTGAACAGTATAGAAATAACAGGTAATTATTATGGATGAACATGGAGAACATTTTTATACTTATTTTGTTTTAAGTTCTTTTTTGGAGAAGTCATTTTTCATTTTCATAATTTTTATTTTCTAAAGGAAAGCGTCTTCTGGGTTCTTTCATTTTGGGTTTCCCGTTTGTTTACCTGGGCATGCCAAAATCTCTAAAAAACCTTAAAAACTACTCCAAAAAGCAGAGAAGCAAGGTAACAGAGAATCAATCTACTTCAAAAGCTGGAAACTGTACATGAGAAAATATACATATTTGACAGAATAAATACATAATAATTTAACCAATAAACATTTAAAAAAATCAGAGAAAGGACACACAGACATGCACCTGCACATATACATGGGGTGGGGTAATAGCAAAACAGAAAGCACCCCCTTTCCCAAAAATCAAAAAAGCATATAAAGGCTAAAATGCAACCACCACCCCAACTAATAATCAAAACTACTAGAACACAGGGAGGTTTCTTCCCCACCCCCACACACTTACTTGATGCTTTGTCTTCTTTTATCTTCTGAGTAAGTAGACAAGTCAGGCCCAGCCAGCAGCAGATTCTTGCTTCCTGTGAAACTCCTGATTGGCTGCTGACACCATCATGTCTCTGCAGTAGTCCTTGTGATGCTATTGGATGAGAGCTTTATCAGATGATTTGACATATAAAAGATGAAAGAAAGGTCGGAATGTCAACACTACTGGATTAAAAATTTATCAGGCAATTTAGGATGAAAGAAAAGCAGCAGAAAAGGGGAAACACACACAGAGACAGAAACCCCTTCAGTGTACTTCTTTTTTGTTAATATGATTTATTCATGCTTTAGAGAGCCTCTTTCAATAATCACTGAAACAACACAAAAAGTGGAGAAAGAGCCTCTTTTGTGTGGTTTTGTATGGCATGTGTTTGTCCCACCCCTAGTACTCATTATATTAAAAACTAAAGTGTGCTGTTTGCGGTTGTGTGTTCTCAGTCATATTTGACTTATGGTGACCTTTCAAGATAAGGAGTGGTTTTATCCATTGCCAACCCCAGCGGGTTCCATGGCCAAATAGAAATTTGAACCCAGGTCTCCTATTTCCAGTCCATCACTCTGACCACTACAGAATGCTGGTTCAATTCAACTATTAAACTGATCTAGGATAAACCATTGAATTAATAAGATTTACATAAGTTGATGTATACAAGTCCCGTTAGATCTATTTAAGTCTCCTTAAAGGGTGAACGCCTGGATTTAAGTTTTTAATAATATTCCATGGCTTTCTAATCCAATAACAGCATCTCTACTGATATCCTTCTACTCATGCCCACATCCTTTTCTGTATTTATCAAAATCACAGCAATTTGCATCAAATGTATTGGTCTGCAAACTATACCAACACTTTTTTAAAAGCAGTTAATACATGTCGGATGTGGAGGACGATGAGTCAATGGAGAAATTCAAGGCACTGCATGTATGGATGGAAGTTTTCAGCATGGATAAATATCAGTAGTATATTTGGTTGCCAAATCATCCCCAAAACTATATCCACATAACTATTTCATATTTAATATTCTTAAACATTCTGTGTTCAATATTCTGCTGTCACCTTTTGACAGACTGCATTTGATAACAAATAAAAATTGATGCAAAACACCAAGGTTCAGTACTTAGTATAAAAACCATAGACTCTTCAAATCTGCATCTGTTATCAAATACTTTCAGAACTGGGGAGTCAGTAGCTCTCCATGTGGATTAGTTTATCAATGCCATATAATTTGCAGCAGACTAGAAATATGGCATGGCAGTAACTTTATAAAGTCATAACGTTATAAATATCTTTCATCACAAAATACAGAAAAGAACTTCTAATGTACATAAAGTACATTCTCAAAAGACAAGATTCAGACAGTTAAAGCCTCATAGCTGTTGTGAATCTCCATATAAGGAAACCTCATAAAAGCATAAAATGGAATACAATATGACAGAGGTTTACTCAAAAGAATTTTCATTGTGTTCAGTAGGGTTTGGTCCCTGGTTCAGATGTTTTTCTTATTCATATTTCTGTGGGAGTAGGCCTGACTCAATTCAATGAGACTTACTTCTGAGTAAATCTATATAGGATTGAGCTACAGGTGTCTTTTGTAGCATTGCTTTACAACAGACCAAATGTTCAATCAACTGCCAAAGCTGTATATCTGCATATTTTTCCATAGAAAATTTCTGAAATGGAATGGGAAGAAAATTTGCTTTAGAAATGATTTTCTGTTTATTTGCTTGCTTTGCAGATATGGGGATACCTAATACAAGCAGTCCTTTGACCACACCTGGTTAGTAAACTTTATCAGCTGATTATCAAGAAAATCCAAGCCGAATCATTGATGATGCCCAACAGTTCAAGCTCATCTGTTTTGCCATCTTTATTTCATAGTCTTCACAAAAAAAGTGGAAAGAAAATTTAAAAAACAATATTCAGCATTTTGATTTGGTTTGTTTTCAGGTTTGGGCACCCTCAGAACAACCAGTGCTTTCACATCATCAGGTTAGTAAACAGAACATGGCATGATAAGGTGCCTACCGTATATCAAAGGTTCCATGTGTGTTGATAATTGTACTGTCTGCTTTGCCACTTCTTTTTAATACCCACCATTCAATGAGACAAAGAAGACTGTGTTCACATTCAAGTGCTAAACTTTTCCGGAGCAATACAGAGATTTTAGTTACCCAAGTTCGTATCATTGGTGGATGTTAATCAAAATAAATATAGGTTTTTTACACTGACAGCCTCAACAAATTTGATGAGGACTATGTTTATTATTCAGTTTTGGGGGGGAAAAGTGGAAAAGAAAAATGTTTTTAAGAGGGACTCATTTACTTTCTCCAGCAGATGGCATTGTAGATTAGTTCTCTGATGCTGAGTGGGGAAAATGGGATTGAATTTGCTTTTTATAAGCAGTGCTATCGGTGAAACTACTGGAAGACTGCTACTGATTTATTTTTTAGTATTTAATACATCATGAACTGAAGGGTCTCACCAAAGTATCTGCCACTGCAATTTATGGCTTACTGAATAGCATTGGGATGTTATTACCAGGGTAGGAACTCCTCTTCCTTAAGATTTCAGGGCCAAACACTGAGACCATAGACCAGGTCTTCACAGTGTCCTGAAGAGGAACTTAGGGGTTCCAAAGAGTGGATCCTTGTGATGTCACAGAGAAGGCAAGTGGTAGAGCAAAGCAAGCACAAACACACAAACACCTTTGGGGTGAGCCAGTGATCTACTCTGGGTTTTAGTCTACACTTGATATGAACCATCCCTGGCACTAGGCAATAGGTTCAGTACTTAGGAAAATTTTATTAAAGTACAGGCTGCATTCCACTGTGGATTCATAGCACCTCTCAAATTGAATCCACATACATCACTGGATGGGTGCCAGACCTTAAAGAGACTCCACAATATTTTTTTTCTTACTCTGAGATGTATCTCTCTGCCTGGAAAACAGGACAAACAGAAACAATCCCTGAGATTTCAGGCAGTGCCTGGAAACCTGGCAATCCTACCCATAATGCTGTTAAAGCAAGAATCCATAAGTCACTGATAGGGAAAAAATGCTTTCTGCTGAGATGGCCCCAGGTTCGATCTCTGGCATTTCAATGTAAGGTTGCAAAAGATTCCTGTCTGAAATCCTGGACAACCACTGTACTATACCATAGACTAAAATGAGCAACTTATAACATGGGCTTGATACACCCTCCATGTGTTTTCCAGGCACTGGATCACCCTAGAAATTAGAGATGGGGATATATGTGTTTGTAAACAAATACAAATATCCCCATCCCAGCTGGAAATAATGAGGGTCTGGTTCCCAGGACTGGACCATCCATCTTGAAGGTCCACTCCTCCTGCCAATGGCTCCCAGAGCTATGCTGTCTTCCTGCTCAGCTGGCAACTCAGCAGCCATGTGGGGAGACTCATCCTTCCTTCCCATGCCTGGGGTGGCCAGCCGAGCAAGAAGGCAGCAGAGCTCCAGGCACCATTGGTGGGAAGAGTGGGATCTTTGTGGTGCTGGAACACATGAGTGGACAGTTTAGTCCCAGGGGCCAAACCCTCATTAGGTCCATCTGAGATGGGGATATTCATATTTGTTTATGAATATGAACACATTGGCAAATCAGCTACCGTGTTCTCAAGACTCACAAAGAGAGTATGGCTGAATAAGAAGCTGATGGCATATACCAAGATCCAGGTCTATAGAGCCTGTGTCCTGAGCCCTCTCCTGTACTGCAGTGAGTCCTGGACTCTTTGTGCATGGCAGGAGAGGAAGCTGAACATGTTCCATATGCGTTGTCTCTGACACATTTTTGGTATCACCTGGCAGGACAAAGTTCCCAATAGAGTAGTCCTAGAAGGAGCTGGAATTTTTAGCATGTCTACATTACTGAAACAGCGACGTCTACGTTGGCTTGGGCATGTTGTGAGAATGGCTGATGGTCAGATTCCAAAAGATCTCCTACAAGGAGAATTAGTGCAGGAAAATTGGCCTTCTCAGCCACACTAGATGGTGTTCCAAGTCCTCCATACAGAGCACGTTACCATAGTCTCTCAAGACTGAAGGATGCCAAACATGAATATAAATATTCCCATCTCTACTAGAAATCCCAAGATGGGAAAAATAGTTAATTTGTTTGTTTGCTTGCTTGCTTGTTTTAATGGAGACAACAAGAATAACTTCTAGTCCAACAGTACATGATGAGTTTCTTATGCTAAAGTTTTAGAATATGAATTACATTGTTAACTTACAAGGTAAAGGCCTAGTTATATTGGATATATGAAGATTTGCATCTGCTTTCTTGTCTGAGGTTTAAGAAACCCCTTAACTTACAAGGTCTTTACCTAGTTATATTGGATATATGATTTGTGTCTGCTTTCTTGTCTGAGGTTTAAGAAACCAAAAGCAAACAAGACCTGCTTAATTAATTCCATTTCCTTTTTTAAATGAATTTTAGTTAAATGTTTACCTCCTCATCGACTTTGTGCTGATGGTTTAAGCTGCATAAGCAAAGAACTATTTTGTGATGGAATACCAAACTGTCCAGATGGTTCCGATGAATATGAGAAAACATGTGGTAAGAATTTGAGCTTCTGCAATTAGCCCTTTGTATTGCTTTTAATCTTCCAACATATTTTTAATCAACTGCAAGTAATACAATAATCTTTTATTATGTGGTGATCAAATATATTTTATGGAAGTTTGTGCTTTTCTTCAAACTTGTTAATATCGGAACAATGATAAATATTCTAAGACAATTAGAACTGCACAAAGTAATGTATGTAGATAATCAAAGATATATTTTTACACTATCCACACCCATATGCATAGTGATGATTTGTAACCTAACCACTGGTTTTGTTGTTCAGTGTTATTGTTGGAGAGATAGGTGGACACACACACACAATGTACACCAACCACAACATATATATTCCAATTACATAGGCTCAGAGAAGTGTCCAATCTGCCTGCCACTGATCTGGAGGTTGTCTGATTTAGCCAGAGTAAAAAAAAAAAAATCAGAAATCTACTGTAATTTGTTGTCGACCACAAGGAACAAGAAATATATTTTCAGTATTCTAATAAAAGATGTTTTCACTTCGATCGGGCTCTTTAAAGGGGGCTATTCCCATGGTCTGCACAACTTTCCACGAAAACTTAATGGCATTTCAAGTTAAACAAACCCAATAATACACCCAGCCATTGGTACTGGACTATGGACATTGCCCAGTGTAAAAATCTTTTTATGTCATTCTTTTATTTGTTCAGGTCAAGCATAGTGATCCATAAAGCTAAGGTGATTTCTTTTTGTGTCATTGTTTCACTAAGTTGTGTTCTGTGCCAACTTTGAGAGTGTAAGTGTCAGGGAAATAACAACCTAACACTTCAACCAATAACACTTGTTGTTGGAAATAAAGAAGTATGGTGGACCTCTTAGTCTGGCAGATCTCTTAGTACTTTTAACAGTATCATCCAAAGCTAAGGTCACCTTCACTGTCAGAATATTGGCTGAACCTTTCCTGGCTATATGATTTTTCACTTAGGACCCATCCCCCAAGTAATAATCCATCTCTCATCATAGCTGAAATAGTCAGATATCTCTGTAACATTTCATGACAGGATTTGCATTATTTCTTGCTATACTGTACATGAGCACAAGACATCCTTTTTCCTTTCAAAGAACTTTGCCCAACACCATGCAGTTTTCATTATAATTCCCATTGGCACTACTGAGTTCAGCATGTGCTAGAGGTATAAAGTCGTCACACAGGAAGAGTGTAATTCTAACAGTCTCTTCATGGTGCTGTCAAGAGTTCAGTGAAATCAATTATCATCTCAGCTGAAATGGAGACAACAGGTGACACAGCAAAATTTCACTTCCTAGTTTTAATGATGTACATGAAATCACCATGAAATGGAGTGACTCTACAATGTCGTAAGTCAGCTTTAGAAAGTGGAAATTGCATTCTGTGCAGAAATACTGCTTGTAGTAGGTTTGCTGGGCTGAAATAGACCAAGACCCATGCAGAAAATTTATATTGTTTTTATTAAGCTAAGAAACTATTGAGAAGTGTAAGAGCACTGTTACCTCCATGTATGGCAGGCTTTGGGGACATTATTTCATTTATTAACATTACTTTGGATTTTACTGGTCTGGGAATAGCAAAATTTTGACAGAATTCTGTGCATGAAGAGCTGACTTAGTTTCTCTACTTTACATCTAAGTGTACTTCCCTTCTTGGGTTTCATAGCTATTTGTCAATTTCACTGTACAAACAGCATTATTTACAATCCAAGTGTAAATGCAAGACAAAACAGAGCAAAATCCAACCACCAAACTAAACAAAGAGAAAAGTTGGATATGGTTAGTGTGGACCTACTGGCATTTAAGTTAGTAGTGCATAATTTGCCCATTCAAGGAGACAAAAGTTGCATAGGGCTCTGTCAGTATAACTTGCATGCACAGTGCTTGTCAATGCAACACACTGCCTCTGCCTGTATATGTTAAAATAATAAAGAAATTTAGAATGCCAGGAATGCAAGCGCCTATGTACTGCCTTTAATTTCAGTGTTTCTTCTAAGCATGATTAAGTCTGTATCCAACCCGCTACAAGCATTTATTTTTAATGAAGAAATTAGCTCAAGTGTAGTCACCAAAGTATAAATTCAATCAAATTTGTTCTATTTGTTCAATGCCTGTTATTTCCTACCACTTCTGATTTATGACAGATAATGGTAATGGGAAAAAATGATAATGGAACCAAGACATAGCAAATTTAACCATTTCAATATCCTTGTCGTCCACATTCAAGCTGTGTATTTCTTCTGCAGTCACATTCTCTGTCTTCTTCCTCTTCAACTGTGATTCTCCTTTAGCAGTTTTTTCTTTAACTCACACCAGTAATTGTTTAAAGGCATCATAGATCATCTGCATATCTAAAATTATGCATGTTTCCTCTACCAATTTTCACTCCTCCATCCTCCTTTGAATCCACTCCAGTAAACAGATATATTCTGAATATAGACTGGTCAGATAGGGAGAAATGTATATCCTTGTTTGACACTTTTGCCAATTGGAAACCATTCTGTTTATCAATATTCTATCCTTACACTAACCTCTAATCCAAAGTACAGGATTACAAATTGGAACAATTAAATGTCATGACACATCCATTTCTTTTAGAATTAACAACAGACACAGTCAAAGACTTTAATTTGATATATAAATAGTCATTTGAAATTCATAAATATGCATTATCAGTCAGTATATATGCAACATGATCTCCAATGTGAATATTGACCAATCTGATTTGTGTCCAAATATTCATACTGGTATTGACCCATGGCAAGCTGATCTAGAGATGGCCTGAATATAAATGTTCTTAAGGTTAGGCAGGGGACCTGAAAATATGGGAAATAAAATATATGATTTAGAATGAGAAGTGCTATACAACACCAACAACTCTGGGAATGTGGTGCAGCTTCAGTTTGTTGGCAATGCTCCTATCAGCTTCCTTCCTTCCTTCCTTTTCAAACCCCCTAGGAAGTATGCTAAGGTAAACTATGCGTTGCTGTTGTGGAAGTTGTCCCCTCAGTGTCCCCTGCGAGTAATATGGCTTGTTCAAGTGTGCCTGCTTATTGCATAGCCCAAATAAGATTGCTATATATTTCATACCAACCTAATCTGGAACATCCTTGGATCATTCTAAGAAATCATTGTGGTTTAAAAAAAAAACAGACAAAACTTGCTTGGCCTCTTTGAAAAACATGTACTACTCCACATTCAGAAGACTATGTGTATTGCAGGAGGTTTCTCTTTTTTTTCTACCTATAGAGAATGTTGAAGCTGCATTTCTACACCCACATACTTGGAATAAAGTCTTTTAAACTCAACTGAGAGGCTAGTATATGTTTCCATGGTTGGGACACTTCTCATGTATAATTTCTAGCCATAATGGCAGAAGAGGGGGTAAACCACTTGCCAGAAGGAAGTGCAGAAGACAGCCTAGGAATTACTCAGTTCATCCGTGTGGTAGTCTAGCTAAATATTTTTTAACGTGTACACTTCAAAACATTTATTAGAATGCTACAGAGCAGAAGATCTGACATCCAGACATGAAAACCAAAAGGAATACAGAATTTATATTCTGTCTGGAAATGTAATCAAGTTTGTCTCTAAACTGCAAGAGTATTTGTTTTTACTCCATGGTGTGTTCCTCCTGCAAAGTACTTTGAAAATATAGCATTTTGGAATGGTCTTGCTCTCAGTGTGAATGCAATGAAAAGATAATGATTGTTTAATTACAGCTACATCTTGTGACGGACAATTTATCCTGACCAGTTCTTCTGGATCTTTTCACTCTATTAATTATCCAGAGCCCTATATATCAAATACTGTTTGCCGGTGGATCATATCGTAAGTCACTTCATAACATTCTATAGTGACCAGAATGTATTTGTGGCTAAAAAGCAACCTTTGCTTATCAAATGTAAGCAGATTTTCTTCAATATCAAAATCTTAACAATTTTGTTTATACATTCCAGTTAACGTTCAACATGATATGTACATTAAATAATTTTTCATGCTTTCTGAATTGGACAGTTGCTTCTAAGGTTGGGGCACAGTAACAGAGCTATCATATTGCATTTAATCTCATCCTTGACTGTCATCTCCATGCAGGAAAGCATTCACCTGTTCCTCCCACAAACTGAGCTATTGAACTATTTCTTGTGTGCCATAAATTTCTACACTGGGAGAGGAAAAGATTGGTTGATTCACATAGCAAGCTTGTGGACATAAATATTGTGGTTGTCCTTGGAAATCTTTCCAACTGATCAAGATGATAATTTGCATGCACTTGTAAAACCAAGTTCTGGCATTTTAGGGTGGTGATACAGCTCTAATTCCACTAATTCTAGACTCAGAACAATTCTAAGTGGGAGCCCATAGGGAAGCGAGTATTTCTGGAAATGTTCAACAAATTACTCACACTTCTTGCCCTTGTATAATGACATAAACATGCTCAGCACCTGGTACATGCTGTTGTCATCTCCTGTTCATGGAGGAATTCATCAGAAAGAGATGCAGCATTTCAGAAATTAATTCACTATATGCCTGCGTTTCTCTGTCAGGCTTTTTTTTTCCATTGTTTACCTTTCCGATTTAGACAAGCTCTGTTTTTATGAGGATTTTCCATTTCCTCATTCAATTCTGTGCTTATTTCCTAAATCAAGATATAATATTATTATTCTTGTTAATTACTGTCCAAAAAATATACGATGATTGTAACCAAATTGCCCCATCATATTATGTTAATTTTGGTGGGTTAATTTTCTCAGCACTTTTCTGCCATTCTTTTTTTTTATTGCCAGATATAATTTTCAATGCTTCTTCTATCTAACAAAAGTGCTAACAAAAACATAAACAGAAAGGATTGCAGGTCACATAAAAATGTGCTTTTGTTCATTTTCCGAATTGACTTTGACAAGCATGTTGAAATAGTTTTGGTCAAACATGTATTTTAATCCATTTATAGAAATCCAACCAGGAAGTAGTGCATGTTAGTACATTCAAAACAGTTTGCTGTTTTGAAATTCATATTCACACAATGAGTATTCTAGATGTTTTTGTTTATACCGTGCCAAGAGAAAGGACTCTGTGATATCCTGCTTCTAGTTGTTAAATAATTACTGTTATATTAAGAGTCATGTAAGTATCATTTCAGAGGGTCAGACATGCCACTGTTACATAAATTTTACACCTGAGACCATGCTCAATCCATTATTTCTCTGCATTTTCTGAATCTATATCCCTAGAATAAAGTAATCTACACTAAAAAGGAAAACATGACAAAGCTCATCCTGTTCTTAGTTGAGGGTCACTTTATGTTCCACTATTAATGGATATTCTGACAAGCACAGTGATCTTGCTAATTTTGTAATATGTGAAGATGTGATGAAGTAACATGTACCTTAAATTCATGGTTTGAGTTCTGAGTGGAGAAAATGTAATATGAGCAATATGATGATGCTAGAACAGGGTTTGGGGAAATGAATTCAGGGCCCCGCTGAGCAGAATGAGCAAAGTGCCACCAAATTATTGGATAGCACAATGTTTGAGGCCACCAGAGCCAGAGGTTGGGAGTTCGAATTCCCCACTGGGACTCCTTAAGAGTGGCTGGACTCGATGATCCAAAGGGTCCCTTCCAGCTCTGCAGTTCTAAAATAATATTATTACAAACTGTAGGGCTGGCTTAACAGTTTTGAAGTGAAAGAAGTAATAAACCTCACCACTTAAAAATGGGAGGAGGGGTTAAGCTATTAATACCAGAGTCTACAGTTACTTAATTGCACCAGTGGTCCAAGTTAGTAAACCACTGATGCTTCTGAATCATTAGAGCAGTGTGTGAATAGAAGCGAAAGCCTGATACGTGGTTCACCAACTAAGCAGCCATTTCTGGAGGCCTCCTCTTGTCTTTATGGTTCTATGTTAAGCTCTATAGTTAAGTAGGTTATAGGTTGCAATTTAATTGCCACAGATTGATGACCCACTCAAAGAAGGTGTCTCATTCAGTTTTCTATTAATTCCCCTTTCCCCACTAGCCATTCAGACAACAGCCACACCTGATCATTGACTCCAGACACTTGGGCACTATTAAAATGGGACTTCTAGTGTAGAAAGGAAAAAGAAATGAGTAGGAAAATCAACTTCTACCCACCTCCTTCATGAGGATATTTGAATCCAGCACAAGATGCATGAAGATCTCTCCTCATGCTTTTGTAGATCAAATACATCACAATTGAACATCTATTAACACACCATTTTGTTCCCTTTTTAGTGTAAATCAGGAGCTGTCCATCAAATTAAATTTCAGTGCTTTTGACACACAAAATTATGTAGACACCTTAAGCATTTATGAAGGTTTAGGCCCTGCAAAGATTCTAAGAGGTAAGAAACCTATGTCATGTAATGAAAGGCAATGTGATGTAGTAATTGGAGTGTGGGGTTTTAATGCAAGAAACCGGGGTTCAGTTTCCCAGTTGGCAATGAAGTTTACTTGGTGGTCTCAGATCAGTTATATTCTCTCAGCATTACCTACCTCATAAAATACTTTTGAGGATACAATGTGGGGAGGACAGCCATGTCTGCTACCTTAAACACACTAGAGGATAGGTGAGCCATACATGCAGCTAACAAATAAGCATACATGACATAAATAAATGAATCATACATGTCATAATATGTTAAAGCTACATTGTGAAGTTTTTACACATCAGTCCAGTTGTTGAGATTCTGAAGGATAATTCCATGTTATATAGGATGTCATGTTGAAGTTTTGTGAGGGTAGAAATGGTTTCTATGGCAACAGGGCTTGCCCATGATATTTTGGTGGCTGAGTCAAAGGACAAAATGCTATACTACTCCTTTCCACAAAGAGAAAGCACTGGGACTGGCAACTGAGTCATGGTTCAAAACTGTCAACTGCATGATTTCTATTATGCCTGAGGGAAGCAAGCTAATTCAGGCTGTGTGGTACTCCAGATGAGAGATATGGTTGGGGGAATCCAAAAGGAGTAGCATCTTCGACTGCCTTATAAGACAGTTTAGGTCCCTCACTTTTCCTACCGGTAAAAGTGGCAAATTAGTAAGTCCAGCTCACACCTAGCTGCTTAAATAGTATCACAGCTTACATTGCTTTTGAGCAACCCATGTTATTAGCTAGTTATAGTGTTGTATATCAACCATATATAGCTAGGTGACAGCAGTAGAATCAACATGGGAAATTTCTCTTAGTTTTTCCATAAAGTTTATTAATCTCTAACATTTGAATTATGCAGTATTATTCTCTTCTGATAACTTTTATGTCTTTTCCATAGCTATCCTCTGGGGTTCTAATCCAGACACAATTCATATTTTTTCTAACCAAGCCACAGTAGAATTTGAGACTGATTATTCTGAAAACTATAGTGGCTTTAATGCAACATACACATCATTTAATACCAGCGAACTAAGCAGTAAGTACTCTTTGTAATTTTAATGGCCATAGTATTGGTGTATATTGTGGGAATAGTCTTCTCTGGTAGAGTGACATATTCATGATTTCAGTGGTATCTGCTTTTTATATGTATCTAAATTATTTCACTCCATCAAAGCTTATTTACTTTCAAAGTTTCAGTACAGATAATCAGTTCAATACAATTTTTTAAACTTTGCTCATAGGGGAAGAAAAGTGCTTACGCTTTCAAGGTGGGAGCAGATGGACATGTACTAGAATGCCAAGTATAAATTGACTGGTCAGATTCATGCATTCATTTATGCATAAATCTGAATTTTTAACTACTTTCAGTTAGAATGTTCAATGCTGGTGTTGTTTTGCATGAATACATCCTTTGATCTAGGTAATATATCTAAGATAACTTGCTCTGCTACAGAATGTAATACTGCAGGTTTCTTGGTAATTAAATATGCTTGTTAGTTCAGGGCAATGAACTTTACATTTAAAGCTGCAGGTGAGAAAGAAAGACCATAAATCCAGCACAAACCTAGTCAGAGTGTACGACACGCCCAAGGAAACATGCCTTTTTCAAGACTTATTGAAATTAACATCCAGATGGCATATTTTTATGGGAGGCAGCATCTCATTATAATCACTTTGCATCCAGAAAGGATAATAATTAACAAATTCATTACTGAATTCTATTGTTGATGGATTGATATTATTTTTATTCGCATTTCATTTCAAGACATCCAGAAAATTAACTGTACTTTTGAAGATGGATTTTGTTATTGGATTCAAGATTTGGATGATGATGATGACTGGATAAGAATTAATGGCCCCACCTTTCCTGTTACATCTGGTCCTGATTTTGATCATACGTTTGGCAATATATCAGGTAAGTATTATGTTGTCACTCAGGAAATTCTCAGAGGTATGAATAAGTATGTTTTCCAGACTCCAAGGATTACAGATTGGTTGTTGTTGTTTTTTTTTTGTCATCAATTAATGTGCAAAAAACCTGACCCGTGGAACTGAGTTAGTGCAGCCTGAACACGAAAAAGATGCCTCTCTTAGTAAATATACAATTATAGAGTTATAAAAGATCCTGTGTCACTGAGTCCAGCATCCTAACAGGTGACCATCCAACCCATGTTTAGAAATCTCCAATGAAGGAGGATCCACTACCCTCTGGACTATCATGACCCTAGTTGTCTTGCGCTTAATAAAGCTGTTTCTCATCAGCATGCTTCTGAGAGGTGAACAATTGTCAGTTTTGCATTCAGAACAATTATTTTGCTTGTCTCAACCTTCATTTTATTACAGATAAATTCGTACACATTAAGAAGGCAGCTTTCCCAGCATCAGGATTTCTTTCATTCTTTCTTAGAGACTACGATAAATGAAATATCTAATTGAAGCTGTTGAGATATGTAATTCATGGAGCAAAGAGTTAGAAATTAATACCTCACCAGTAATATATGTGTGTGTTTGTTTATTGCAGGCTATTATATTTCAACTCCTGCACTCCTTGGAGGCATACCAGTGAGAGTCAAACTTCTTAGCTTAGTGCTGATCCCCACTTCAAACATGTTCTGCCTAAGTTTCTGGTAAGATGAACATAGATTAAATATTAAGTCCTAGCTGGTTCCTTTGGATGTTAAATAGCCTAATGGCACATACACAGAAGGAAGTAAATGTGGCACTATGCATACAGAAGGGTGATGTGACTATGTACACCTCCAAGAAAAATTTCAAGGAATCCTAAGACTTAGAATACCCAGAAGGGGAGGGGGACTTAGGCAGGTACCAAAAACTACTCACTAAGGACTGATTGAGTGACGTTAGTGCTAGTGGGAAGCTAACTGACTGTTATACAGAGGCAGAATACGCAGAAGTAGGCAAAGGGGTATTCTGAAGGTAGACATGACTGGACAGCTGGAACCTTGAGCAGAACCACTCTACACTGCAACATTTTGTTACAGATCCCACTTGATTCCTATTCAAAATTCTATTCCTCACCATATTACCTCAGGATGTGGGGTCTAGCTGTGAGTGAACAGTCATAAGGTAACATTAATAGGATAGGATAAATAATTATGTCTTGTTTCCTATTAGGTACCACATGTATGGTGCTACTGTGTATCGTCTGAGCGTTAAAATAATACATGATGACAATCAAAATGTTGAACAGACAATATTCCAGAAAGAAGGGAATTTTGGAAACAACTGGAACTATGGGCAAATAACATTAAACGAAACATCCAGTTTTAAAGTATGTAAAACAGTTCATTTCCATCAAAGTTTTTTTTAAAACTCTGAATATTTCTGGTCATATTCACACCCACAAAAATAATATGTCTTAGTCTCTGTTATAGTCAGTCAAAAATTGCTACATGAAGAAATTGCATGTTTTTGGCACTGAGATTATGATGATTTTGCTGAAATGTTGAAACTTCTCTAGTTTGCTACCTTGTTCTACCTCCACTTAAAACCATAAGCGGGAGGGGGGTATCATTAAATATAATTACAAATATGATTGAACATTTCTACATCTGAAAGAAATTTGAATGGCATAGAAATGATAGCAACATGAATCCTTTTCTCCTCTTTTGAGATTCACACTAGGGACTTCCAGATTCCAAAACAGCAGTTCCACACTTCGTCATGCTACTTACACTGAGAAACTTTTCTGAGAGAATGTGTTCAGGTCTAGTTTATGTATTTTGGGCCAAATATCTCTGACACGTTTTCCAAAACATTCCTGCATGAAAATTGTTTCTTGCATTTTCTGATAATGAAAAAAAAATATTTGGCCTGTTTTACAGAAACCACTCAATTGTTTGACAGAAAATAGTTTCAATCTTGTTAGAAAAAAGGACTATGTATATGAGCTAAGAATCAGAAATTTGTACTAATTCCTTTTAGAGGGGATACTAATTTCCTAAAGCCAACAAATGGTATCCATATAAAAGGTTGTTCACATATGTAATAATTTCAAAAACTTGGAAGTATTACTTTACAATTCTGCTGGCTGTGATAATTTTGTGAGTTGTAGAATTCTGAGAATGTATACTGCTTTATGATTTAAGTTTTATCAGAGGCATAAGCCAATGGAACTCCAGGGTATATAGCATTACAGCCAATGTATTCATCCAGATAGCTCTGTATCCTTTGCTGATATGGGCCATCATAGCATTTATTGACAGTAATGTGGTAGGTTAAAAATGATTGGAAAGTTAATTAAATTCTCCAAAGCTTAAATAAAGGGTCATCTGATATTGTTGATCTTTTATTTAAATGTTTCATGTAACATGTAGTTCCATTGTTGTTTATTTTTCACTGAGACTAAAAAATGTACGAAAAAAAATCACACTGAACCACAGTATTGGCATTTTTAAAAAGAAAACCTGTGAATTCAGTAAATACAGAATAAATACGCAATCTGGTGATCAGCTGGTATTTAACTACAATCTTCAAATATTCAAAGTAAGTTCAGCCATCTATTTATAAAAGTAGGCATTACTTGCTTTCTTCATAACATAACCGAAGTGAATAAATTATATGTATAGTGGAGTGGCATTCAATCTGATAAAGTATATTCAGGAAACTGAGTAACCAGGGTTACAAACAAAGGCATGGGCTTTTCTTTCATCTCTCAAAGGCTCAGCACACGGAAGAGCCAAGGAAAAGGACTGAGGGTAATGTTTTCTGTTACATAATTTTTCCAGGTTGCTTTTGAAGCCCTTAAAAGGCCAGGATGGGATGACATTGCCCTTGATGATATAGGACTGACAAATGGAGGCTGCAGAGAAAATGTTTATCCAGAGCCAACTTTAGTTCCCACAACCCCTACAACGCCTCTGCTACCAAGTAAGTTCTATAGTCAGGAAAGCATTTCACTTTTGGAATACTTCAAAAGCATTGTGGAGGATTTGTGGTTGCTGCTTCACTCCAGTAGCAAGCAGGACAGGCAATGGCAGAAAATTTAAGAAAAGCAGAAAAAAAAATTCTGAAGAAAGAACATCATCTGTTCACCTGACATCACCTGGGACATGTAGATACTTTTGATCAGAGGATGCTACCTTGCAGTATGGCGTTAAAATATTGCTATTTGAATTGCTATGCATACAAAACCTGGAGGCAAATCTGTGACCTTTCTAATGGACCAAAGATTTCTTTGTGACCTGTTAAAATCCAGAGTATTAACGTCATATGCTGATGCAGATTCCTCCATGGCTTCACCCTACAAATTATCACTGATGTGATGAGCTTCATAATTGCATTACATGACAAAACAATGCTCAGTGAAAATCTGAGGAAGAACATTGATAGGATATGACATAAGCAATAAACAAAGGATGTCATAATTAAATTAATCAGTTTTACAGTTTTGCTGCCATTGCCTGTATTACATGCTGAAAGACATCGCTGATGACGCACATGGGCAATTTGTATCAATTTCAGGAAGAAAAATTAAGCTGTATATCAAACAAATATCAAATAAATTGGCAAATAATAGAAAGATTAGAAACTATAGGTATGTAATAGGTGCATATGAACTGCTAATGAGGTTCAGAAGTAGGATGGGATTTGTTTGCACAATGAAATAATAGCATACTTAGTCTGGCTGGGTAACAGGGCTTGTATGTCTAGCTTTATTATCTTCCTTCTGCAGCTAAAGCATGCTGAAAATTGTTTTCCCCACAGAACTATCAGAAACTTTGAATACTATCATATTCAATCATTCAGCTTGTCATATTTCTATGTTAGTGACATTATTAAACCTGCCCTGCCAAAATCAACGAACATAAAAAACCCAAATGTTTATTCCAAGAGACATTGGCTATAATCCAGCCAGTCAGAGAAGGCAATGGCAAAATTGCCAGTGATTTTTAATGGAGCTGGATTACTCAGATAGAGGTTCTGTAAAATGTTGCCATCCTTCACAATATAGCTAATATCCATCAAGCTGTGCCCTTGTTTACAGTTTCTCTTTTCATCTGATGTGAAGATCTTATGTTGTGTGAAATGTTGGCCATAGATCTCTCTCCTTGAGCTTCAAGTCAATATCTGTGAAATATTACAGCACAATCTTTTGAACAGTTTTCCCAAAGGCGCCCATACTGAGTTCAACGGGACATATTTCCAAGTGACTGTATATAAGATTACAGTCTCAAAGTGAAATCTGATAAGGAGGTAGGAGGAATCTTAGGTTGGAATGACCATTCCTTAAGCTCTCTTTGGGGTTATGCGAATAGCACAGAAGGTGAGGGGGCAGATTTATTTAGTTTTCTATTTCACCAGTTCACCTTTTCAAAAGAGAGAGAGATAGAAGGAAATCACTCTCTTTGGGAGGGAAAATGAATCCACCACTTCAATGTTTTTCCTCCTTGTTCCAAAGTGTTTCTGGTGAATGAGGAACTTTGATTCTGAAGGATGTCCCCTGGATATCCCCCCTTTTTCATCCTTATTGCCTTTAACTCAGTAATGGCAGAGCAGCCCCCATGATGGACCTTCCCACTGCCAATCAAAGCAAGACCTCTGCAGTTGGCCTTTCTCTTCCTTACCTAAAGAAGGGAAGGGGGACCCACAATACTCTGTGGCTCCTTGGAGACCTCATCAGGGACCTCACTGATGCCCTCTTAACATCCTGCTTCATGGGACTGCTCTGAGCAAAAGTGATACAATAACTGCAAAATGTTTTGTGAATTAGGAGGAGCCATACAGTGGTAGTGAATTTATGTTTTGAGGTCGATGCTTGACACTTATCCTGATATACAATACTGTGTATAATGAAAAAGGCACAGTTATCTAAACAAAAATGCCCACTAATTTATTGTATTGTATTTCATGGTTAAGAAAGATATACTTTATGTAGTAACTTTTTGTATTGATAATCTGCTATTATTAAGTGTAGTACTCTATAGTAGACATTGTCTAGAGGGGCGGGGTAAAAATCTAATAAAATAATAAATAAATAAATAAAT